ATCGCTACTAGGAGCAAGGACGCTACTAGGGGCTCCTGGCCTTACTAGGAATAAGAAGCTACTAGGGTCTCCTGGCATCGCTACTAGGAGCAAAGGACGCCGGGGCTCCTGGCCTTACTACTAGGAAGAAGAAGCTACTAGGGACTCCTGGCTCAACAACCTAATAGCAAAAGGAACCTACTAGTGATGGCCTCCAACCTATATACCATCCATGGCCTCCAACCTATATACCAGCGATGGCCTCCATGCAGCTACGCTATTTTGCCCTGAATACACATTGCTACAAATGACACAAACCTATGGAGCATGCTTAAGGCTTAAGGTCTTTCGACCACTGTGATATATGCCAAGAGGAGTTCCCCGTGTGCAATTCTTGCACCGAGAGATGTGTAAGACTGAAGCTATGGTTGAAACACCTGCGAAAGCTAGTATGCTGGTCCTGGAAGGTTAGGCCTTGCAGCCCTGCAAATTTGGGGTTGTTTGCGTTCACCGCCACTTTTGGGGGGATAACTACCACTTGTTCATCTAGTCTGCAAGCTGGTAACCTCTAGTTTGGAGGTGGTTTCGTTCGGTTTGGTTCGAGACATCTTTGGGTCAAAGTGAAGGCGGCGGGCCCCGCCCCATGGGGCAGTTTCGAGGCTTCGCTGTGGCAAGAAGAACTTCTACGGCAATCAAGGCCGACGCAATCCGATTCAGCGAGGAGCCAACTAGGGGCTCCTGGCCGTACTAGGAGCAAGTACGCTACTAGGAACAAGAAGCTAAGGGTGACCCAAGGGAGCCGTTTTTCGATTCATCGGTGTTTCCACCTTCGTCGCTGAGCCGCGAGAAGCCGCTCGGAGCCACTCGGAGCCGCCTCGTCGGCCGACCCGTCCGGACGAGGCGGCTTTCAGCACAAGAATTGGCGCTTGCACCACGACGAGGTGATCCTCGCGGTGGCACAGGAGCAGCGCGACTCGCTCGGATGGCCCAGCGGGACAGGGGTGCTTCTGCTGTCGGAGACCGAAGCTCGACCCGACTGAGACCCTCGGAGCAAAATCACGCGGAAAGGAATGCCATGAATCCCATGAAATGCACTGAAATGCTCAGAGATGCTCAGAGCCTTGGTAAAGCCATCTCGATTTGCTCTCAGGTCTCTGAAAAGGGTAGAACTTAGGATGGATTCGGCCACACCTTTGTGACATAAGGTGACAGTGTGGCGAAAGCGTCACATGTTTGACACATCCATCGTACGTCCGGGGCCTGCCGATGAAACTCGTGCCGGTGAATCCGTGCGAATCTGTGAGGTTTGTGGGGAACAGCCTTGTGTTTTACACCTCAGAGTGCGTGCCCCAGACAAGCTGTGTGGCCTGCATGTGGCAGCTTGCATGAGGGCAGGCATCGTATGGGCAGCATACACCGATGTTAGCTATGAGTTCACAACTGATAGACGTCATCATATGCAGCCATCGCCTTGGTTATACACCCTAGTGGTTTAAGTCTAGGCTGGAATCATTTGGGAGCCATGACAAGCCATTGTCGTATAGGTGTCAGTTACACTGCATGGTTCTTTGGCAATCCCAAGCAATCCAGCATAGTACAGAGACCGAGAAACTTCACTTCTTTCATTTCCTGGGACTGATGGTCCACCTATCCAGTACCCTCCCTGAATCGATTTGTTCACTTTCCTTTGCAGCCGATCCTTTTCCACCTCGAATGAGAGGCGCCTCCGAAAACCCCACCCCCACCGCCCGGACGTCAACAGCAGCCCCACGCGACATCCTCCCCAGGTGTCAGATCATCGCGCTTCAGGGCCACGATGCCACGCACCGCACGCGCTTGATGGCGCCGGGATTCCTGAATGAAGAGATAGTGCAAGCAGCTTCTTGTTACGTTCGTAGCGATGGCCTCTAACCTACTAGCGGTGTTTGAAACGCCTGAGACTTTCCTGAGGCCCATTGGCAGTCAAATCTCTGGCTTGCAGTTTGAAGGGTGCCGGGCCCAGTTACCCCCAGCGAAACCAGGAGTCATGGGAAGCTTTTTGGCTGAACCCTCCAAATCCAAAACCACAACGAAGATGCTCCAGCATTATGCGACAAACATCACAACACCAATCAGGTTTGAGCTAGCAACTGCGCATGCTTGTTGTGTCTTCAATGTCCTTTGGATGCTCGTTGAGTCAACACGTTAAGTGCAATCGGGCTTGGTATTGGATGGCTCATTGCCACGCTCAACGGGGCACTATGTCGGAGAAACTACCCTGGTGGCCTGGTGGATTAGTTTCGTTTCGGGCATGACAAAGCTTCATTTCTGGCAGACCAAATCATCAACTCTGCGCACTCTGGGTACTGACAACACGTGTGTAGGAGGCATTCAGCTATGCAGCTATAGCTCCTAGTAGCGATGCCCGTTGCTACTAGTAGCTTTTTGTTCCTAGTAGTAAGAATGCTCCTAGTAGCGATGCCAGGAGCCCCTAGTAGCTTCTTGTTCCTAGTAGTAAGGCCAGGAGCCCCTAGTAGCGTCCTTGCTCCTAGTAGCTTCTTGTTGAATGGCCTTGGCGCATTGACTTCGTTGCACCAGTCCGTCCCCTCTTTCCTCGCGGTGTCGCCCAGAAGCCATCTCACTGGCATCTATTTGGAGCGTGTGCCCATTGATGGCAGCTCCTCGACCGCACAGATGGGCACTTGAGACCTATTAAGACCTAGGACGCTACTAGGAACAAGTGCATCCCTTCTAGTAACAAGTGCCTCACTACTAGGAACAAGGACGCTACTAGGGGCTCCTGGCATTGCTACTAGGAGCTTTCTTACTACTAGGAACAAGAAGCTACTAGTAGCAAAGGGCATCGCTACTAGGAGCTAGAGCTGCATAGCAATGGCCTCCAACCTACTGAGACCTGAGTCGCAGCCTTGTTTCCCACTCGGTGAGTTCGATGTTCTGTGTTCTTGGCCAAGCCTGTAGAAGCGACCTAACTCTTTTTCTTGAACTGATTTTGTTTTAGGCAGAAGTTGATGCACAATGGTACTGGAAGGGGGAAATTAGGGACACCCCCCTTCAGTCTAGAACTCTTGGGAGAAATGGAGATCAACCTGCATTTGTCAGCCGCAAGCATTATCCAGCAGTGATAGCATTGAAACAGTCTTCTATTTTGTGGACAGGGTAATCGCGAAATTCTTTGTTGATACTGCCAGTTTGTGCCCATGCTATTGTGGTGACCTCAAAGTCCTAACTGTCATTCTGAATGGAAAGGAGTGTGGGGGGTCCGTCCTGCCCCACTTTTCTACAATAAGAAGTTCCAAGAAGATTTGTTCTAGGGTTCCAGGGTTTTCCTAGCCGGTTTTCTCAAGTTCGAGGCAGTTACGCTCACATTTGTAGTCTTGGCCTTCTGCAATGTGCAACAATCCTGCGGGCTAGACTACGGTTACCCGGAAAGACGAAGCCTGTGTAAAAGCCTTCTCTGAACTGACCATTTGAGGGCATTCCTCATATGACAGGGTGCTTGTTTGGCCCAGTCTCAGTCCATTCTATTTCGGTGAACTCTTTATGAGTCGGTGCTTCCCCGTTGGCCAAAGCGTCACACGGTTGGCCAAAGCAGAACTACATTCAACCACGTGAGGTCATTACCACTGGAAAGAATGATGCACCGTTGAAAGACTGATGGAAGTTCTCAAAGTTCTTGTTTGATCCAACAGGACGAACGCTGAATATGATTGTCAATAGGCCAAAGCCTCCTTTCCTTGTAGATGGTGCATCAACGATGAACAAGCACCTCAGAGCGGCAGGCCCTATGGCTGTTTCGGCAATCCTGGGGCACGTAGGCCTGACCGACATGCGGGTGATTATGAAGGAGGAGTCAAGCCTTCAGCAATGTTATGAGTCTTGGAGTCCGTGGCTTCCCTTTCATACGGAGGAGCAGTTGACTGCAGTAATTACCTAATTACACTGCTTGAATCTTGTGCCGGATATTTCTTTTTCGCACGATGCTGTGTATCCAACAAGAACAAAGTAGATAAGATAGTTCAAATTTGGAAACTCAAATTCTCAAGACATTGCCATTGCCTCACATGCTTGGAACTTGGAACTCTCGTATCCATTCGTATTTTCTTCAGGATGACAACCTTTCCTTCGCCATCCTTTTCTCGCCAGGCTCTGCTGTGGATAAGCTGGTGCTACGGCGCTTTGTCCCAAAAGGGGGACAAGGCCCCCAACCCCACGAACGGGATTCACACCTTGTTTTTGTTGTCGTTGTTTCACAGTAGATGAGAGATGATGAGAGTAGAAGAGCTATGGAGATCAAATTAGCAGTTGATATGCTATTGATCCCTTAGCCGCTTATCAAATTTGTGCAGCCCGTGGATATATTAACTCTAGTTGGTGTCGGGAGGGAGCTTAGGAGCCGGCTCTATGCATATTGTCCTGTAAAATTTGCCAGTCTTGTCAATGCAGACAGTGTACAGGTTTCAGGGCCTTTGATTTTGCATTCTGTATCCTTTGATATACCACATACAGTACATACAGCAAATTGACTATCGTAGAGCAGAATCACTTTGGCATTTTCTTTGGCAGAACCGCCTACTTCACGTTGCAGGTGGAGGACTCTCTTTCTTATGCAGGAACCTTCCTCCATTTGATTGTCATGGAGTTTATTGCCTTGTTGAGCCGTAGTATAGTGTATAATATGGGCACCAGATGGACATGAATCCCAAACGGTTAGGCGGATCTAGGTGTTCCGAAGCGGGCTCCTTCTTCCCGGCTCTGAGGCTTAGGGATGGATCTACACGGCGGTATGGCTTTGAAGGAGGCCTCAAGGATTTCTGTTGCTTAACCTTCCAGTCTTGCAGTTTGTGAAGTGTTTTTGTTCTTGGTGTTCTTGGTGTTTTGTGGTGGAGATAGAACGGAGTACCTGGAGGGTTTGGGGCTCATGCAGGGCTGGATAGATAGATGTTGTTGGAGGCTACGACAGGTCACTGCAGGCCCAGTTGAGTTTTTTTGGGCTAAGTTTGCCACACAACTCTAGACTATATGTGTTTAAGGAAGGGGCAGAACGAAGAGCACCAGCACCACTGGAGCGATCCAGAGCATGTCCACTGGAGCAATCTTCCGGATGCGCCAGGCTATGTACAGGGCCCCTATGATTTGGAAGATGACGAGCTTGGACCTCAAAAAACCATGGTGGATTTGGGGAACCTAAATAGCCGTGATTATGGTGAGATCCGTGCAAGACCCCATTTGTTAGCATTTGGGGCACCTGCTTAATGTCTCACAACGCAGACACCTTTTCAGTAGCAATGGCCTCCAACCTACTAGCGTGCGGATGCCCTAACAACATCCTTGCAGCAGATGTGGAAACATCCAGGCTTCAACACGAGATCCTTTTCTCAAACCACCGCCTTCAACCGCTCAAAATGCGCCGTCTGCATCATCGCCGTGTTCGCGGTAGATTTACTACGTTCCCCGACAGAACCTACACGGTAGATTTTGCGGTCTTATTTGCAAGTGACCCGTTCCGCATGTCGAGCATGGAAAATAGCCACTGGCACTTAAAGCATCACCATCTAGTGATCCATCTCAGCGACAGGGCAGACCCGAGCGACTGAGATACATCCTCTTTGTGGAGCAAGACCGTCGCGATAGCTTCCTGGGCAACTCTGTGGCCTTCATCACCTCCAAAGGCATGGCGAAGACGAGTTCCATCATCCGTTTTGTGCACCGAAGACAAACTTCGTGGGAAGGACGGGAGTAGAGGAGTCGGTGGTAGGATGGGAGGACTGCGGCTTTGCTTGCAACGGTCGCAGGGGGAGGTTGCGCTTTAGCTATTTCTATGCACCTGAGTTGTGGGGGATCGTTCTCAGCTCACGTGCGGGGTGCAGCGGCGTGTCAGGCAGAATCTTTGACTTCCGTGGAATGCAGGTGGGGTTTGGGTGATGTTCACATCGTTGGCAGTATATAAATGGTACTGAATCCATGAGAGGCAAAGACAGTCAAGACACCATTTACAGCCACAGAAGCCAAAGGAAGATGACAGCTTCTAGGATATCTTTGGATTAGTTTAGGATGGGTTCGAACGTCCAGTGCCAGAGCTCCTCCCCTTCGCAGTTCATCCAGCGTCTTTCTCACGGCCAGGCCTCGCGCTCCATTCGCTTCGTCGGAGCCCCCAAGACTCTCCGGACCGAAGAAAGGATGGACACCTCCATGGCGCAGGGGCCGGTGGATGAGAAACAAGGAGTCACCGGGGTGTGGTCACCGGTGGATGTTCACTCTTTCGGATCATGGTGGTGATCTCAAGAAGCCGCTCAACGTGCGTTTAAAGTCTGAGCATTGCATTGAAGACAGTGTATATATAGTTTTTGTTTGGTTTCTACTTGTAGATTCTAAATGCTTCTAACTGGTCTTCAAAAAGAGTTCTCCTTCATAATGGGTATATGCACCATGGCCAGCACCTTGTACTCACGGGGCCCTGATGAAGCCCTAACAAACCTGCCCTGACATGCCCTGACGGGCAGCCCAGGTGGCCCCGCCAGACCGACAGATTTGTGGCCGTGGCCTCAATGCGTCAGACGTCCGTCCAACGGCCGTCGGGCTTTGACAGAATTCACCAGGACAAAGCGGATTTGGAGATCAATTCGTTTCAGTTCAAGTATAGACTATGTAAGATAATGCATATATATATATTATATATATAAACCGTAATCATAAAGCCAGCTGCTTCCCATTCTCCTCTAGACTCTACACGTCTTTGTGTTGTTCCTTCTGCATCCCATCAAGGCTTGGGCTTCACCGGTAGTCGCTTGTCACTGGCATCTCGGCTTCAATCACTTCGGATGGTAGAGATGATCTGACAACACCAGGTGGGTCTTTCAGAAAAGACCAGAGTCCATGAGATAGGAGGAACCAAGAGGAACCATGGAAAATGGAAAAGTCGGATAAATACTTTGTGTTTGGCCAATTAATTGCAGAATTTCCCGATTTTGTGCGGTATCGTTTGCTTGTTGCAAGACTCCCCAAGTGGTGTTTGTCACGTTCAACTCCTTGGAATAGATGTTGGGTGTATATTGAGAATGTATTTGAGAATCCCTAGCCTGTACTTACCTTTGGTTTGGTGGTCGGTGTCTTGTTTGTGTGAGTGCACTGATCGCAGCCTGTCTAGACTCTCCCAGAACATCTAGTGAGAAGATCCATTATATTGAGAATTAAGATCCATCGATCCTGAAATCTTCCCTGCTCTTCCCCTAGCATCCTGTGGTATGAGTCACATCGCTCCACCATCAGCAAGCACTCGTCAGGTCAGTACCTGCCATGTGCAAAAGCCCGATGCCAATGAACTGGAAGATCACGCATTGGATTGAGCAATGCCATGCTACGCCCGTCCGTCGAGCGACGAGATTTGGCGTGGGGGTCGGTGACCTCGAATTCAGAGATGGAGAAGACACGCATGACGTCCTTGCTCCTAGTAGTAAGGCCAGGAGCCCCTAGTAGCATTTTTGGTCCTAGTAGCGATGCCCTTTGTTCCTAGTAACATTGTAAGGTTGTCAGATCAGGAGCTTGGAATTGCAGGTATGAACCATGACTATGTCACAATCCTGTAACCCCCCAAAAAGTGGATTTGCCTTTTACGGTCTCCAGGTTTCAGACTTCTCGTGAAGGGCATGTTCACGAATCAGCGACCGACCTGGTGCTCTCGTCTCCATCTCCGGACCTAGTACCGACATTGGCCACGTCCCACCCGTGGGCTATTTAGTTGACCAAAAATTGTGCGATGTTGTGCTTCGATTGAGTGGCCAGGATCTCTAACGATTGTTTGGTCTTGATGCTGATACCATGATACCAACCTTAAATCCAGGTCAAAGCAATTGAATGAACCAAGCCACTAGGATATATAGGATATGCTGGGACCAGCAATATGGAAAAAAAACGATCCTAACTTTGGTGGCCATGAATCATTGATGCCGAGTGCACACTCTACCCAGTAGAGGCACTCACTAAAAGTGAACCACTGGTTACAGGTATGACGATCTAAGGTCATTTGTCACTTTTATGGACCAGTTGACGTAATAGGTTCTGTGGCGTTTTGAGCCCGTCATGAGTCATTGTCATTCATTTTCATGCTGTTTGGCTTGAGTTCCTCGAGTGTGGGGTACTTGGGTCGGGTTGGCATCATGGCCGTTGCCTCAGAGCCCAACTATAGGCCTTGATCACCAGCTGTAGGCCTTGTGGAATCGTGTAGTCTAAGATCTAGTCGATTTGGGCGTCCAACATCGACTGAAGTCGCTTGACATGCGAATGCTTGAGGCCATCCCAGCTGTAGGAGGGTGTGCAGCCTCAGTCGCTAGGGGCGTTATGGCATGCTGGCCGGATGCCAGAGGCAAAGATAGGCAAAGGCTTACTAGTAGCGATGCCAGGAGCGCCCCTGGTAGCTATGCACTTGTTACTAGAAGCGATGCACTTGTTCCTAATAGCTTCTTGTTTCTAATATGTTCCTAGTAGTAAGGCCAGGAGCTACTACTAGCGTCCTTGCTACTAGTAGCGATGCCAGGAACTACTGGTAGCTTCTTGTTCCTTAGTAGTAATGGCCTCCAAGCGATGGCCTCCACCCTAGTAGCTTCGTGCTACTAGGAGATTTGTCATGATTTGTTCCAAGACATCGCAAGTCTTTTGGAAAGCGTTCTGTTGAGTTGTCAGGTGTATCGGGGGGGTCAATGGATACAGTAGATGATTGATTTGGCAAACGTTTTATCTCGTCGATGTGCAGCTGACTTCCCACCACCATCCGGAACTGAGAGCGCAGCAACAACACATATTTTGTTGATTTTTGGAACCCGAGAAATACTCATGGTCTGATATGGTTTACATGGTCTCTTGTTGTGTGCATGGCATGGCGCCCATAGCGAGGTGCTGCAGGGAGCCCGTGCAGGGCAAACTCACAGTTTACACACATTTCTGGACTAAGCCCATTGCACACCAAGAAGATCTAAGAACTCTGGAGCAAGGACGCTGCTAGTAGCTCCTGGCCTTACTACTAGTAGCAAATAGCTACTAGTAGCTATTTGCTCCCAGTAGTAATGCCCCTGTTACTAGCAGAAAACCACAACCTCTTCGAGAACCTCTCAGAACCTCTTGTGTTTCATTCGGGGAAGACCGCGACAGTCGGGTGAACGATTTCCCACGTGCTGAAGGCCCTATGTGTGGGCATTCGTCGCCTTCTCCTCTGCTGCGGCCCTGGACTGAAGTCGAAGCGTCGAAAAGACCATCGACATCGGACCTTTCGATTTCTGCAATTTGGAGTCCCAATTGATGGACATGTTTGTTTGTTTGCCTCATGGTGGCCTAGAAGGTGAGAAGCTGTTGCAAGGAGAAGTGTTACCCGGAACAAGCGTCGCCTGTCAACCCTTGAAAGTCAATGTTTCACCAGCAAGAGAGTTGCGAGACAGGACACGGACCGTAACAAGTCTAATTACCACATATTACCACTGGAACAATCCATATCACCGGAGATAGGTCCAGCAGGCCTGAGCAGGATATCCCGCGCCGACTATGTCTCACCAGCCAGGTGCTTCATTTCTTTGAGCAGTATCTGGAGTTCCGGCAGCTTCAAAAGCCAGCGTCTCAGAAGGTGGAACAAACCAGGTGTAGATGCGCTATGGAGAGAGGAATCGTTGCACTAATCGATGCAATCCATCATGAAAAGATTACTGTATGTATTTTGTAAACATGGAACAGGGAGACAACATAGTTTGACTGTTGAACACGTACGTGCCATTTTGGCTACAAGTCGAACTCCTGGTCCCCCCCTGCTGTTTTTCTGCCATGGACCTTGAGTGGTGGAGGTGGATGACGACCCCCTTCCAATGGGGGATGCAGCGTGGGGGGCCTGAGGTGGTCCGCGACGAGGAGCTCGAGGCCTATGTTGGAGAACCCATCCAGGCGATGGCCGAGAGGCTGAGAGAGGTCTAGGTCATGAGGACAGAAGACGTCAAGCTTGACGCTCGAGATGGCTGGTCCACTCTCCGACAGAGATCATAGATGTGGCAAGGATCCTGAGGCAGATGGTCGAGGACGCAAAGATTAAACCAGTGAATCTGGATAGGGCAGTGAAAGACGAGGACATGAACCAGATTGACAGCGGTGACGCCAGTATTGAAGATGCCATGGGAGGGGCTTTGCAGGACTAGTGCTCAACAAGAGAGCCATTGGTGGACGTCAGCTACCTGAGTGAAGACACGAGGAGGGCTGCTATGATGCCAGTGGGGCATGAAGAGAAGAAGAAACATCCACCGGAAGGTGGGCAGCAAGCCGAGCTTCAAGCTCAGTGACCGAGTCAGGACACCATGGCAGAGTCATTCATAGCAGGATGGTTCGTGGTGATCGACGAGGCGGACGGTTCACACAAAGCAGCCGACATGGTTCGCCAGAGCGGATGTGGTCCTGGTGGATATCTTTGAAAGAAGAAGAATGGGGCATTGCAGGTCAGAGTGAGTGGGCCAGGATGCTCTACATTTGGTGGGGGCTAGCGGCATTCCCGTTGAGTCAGCCTCAATGCTGCGCGTATGTGGACCAGTCACGATGGGGCACCAGCCACGGGGACAACCAGCTTCCGAAGTGCCTTCCAAGAAGGCGTCGACGAGATCTTGCAGAGTGGCAAGGTGACAGGCTCAGCGCACAGAGTGCAACATGTGATGAGAGTGGAGGCCTCATTTGTGCTTCTACGGTCGTCTGAGGTTTGGGGACAGCCAAGCCATATAGAAGGCGAACCACAGGTTGAAGATTGAGCTCGCAGGAGGTGCGCGTTTTGATTTTCCATTTTGCTGCCACTTGCAGCCACTTGCAAGAGGCTGCTCAAGCAAATGGCTGCCAAGTGGCTGCAAGTGACTGCTACTTCTGTCTGGAGAATATCATGATTTCTCCGCGCGCAGCTCTGGAGAAAACCAAGATTTCTGCAATGCTGTTCAGTTCTGCGAAGAATGTCCGGTTTTCTCCAGAGCTGCGCGCGGGGAAAGCATGAAATATATAATCCAAAACTTTTCGGAGAACTTACCGAGAATTTAAGTGCCAAACTTCTGCAGAGCTAGCGACGAAAAAATCTGACCATTTTTACAGTTTTTACATAAAGAACTCAAAGTGCAAGTGTTGAAGTTTACTTGCTTGAGTGACAAGTGGCTGACAAGTGGCTGCCAAGTGGCTGCCTGAGCAAGTGGCTGCAAGTGACTGCAAAAGAAAAATCAAGATGAACGTCAATAATTGCTCGCTCTCTGCAACTTTTCGAGTAACGAATAACTTTCAACTTAAATCCTCACCTTAGCTCTTCTGAGTGGTTTGTCCATCCCAGAATCCCATTGCTTTGACAGTATACTATAATGGACGAGATGGACCTCGATGATGGGGCAGGCTTACTGAAGCAAAGCGTTGCGCAAACTGAAGTTGAGGTATCCTCATGTTTCTGATTGTCCAGCCCAAGTGTCTCAGCGACCTGAGGAACAGAGAAACTGCCGTCCCAGAGGAGTTCCGAGGTGCCGCTTAGCCGTCCGGGCATGGCCCGGTGGCAATCCAGTGGGGAGATCATGTCGCAGTTTTTGAGCTCTTTGGTGCCGTAGAAGGAAGTAGTAACCAAGCACAAACTGGGCATCATTCCTTCAGTGATGTTTGTAGCAATTTCCAGGGTCTAGATATACAAGGTCCTCAAAAAGGTGGTGCCCTCGTTGTTGTCACCCACAGCTCTATAGGGAGGTGTAGTGCTGCATGTCAGCTGTGTTGGATTTCTAGATATTGCTAGGATCACCCAATGTCCAGCAGGATACTGTCGGTGTAGTATCCATGGCTGTTTGTATCACTTTGCAAAAGATGAGTGATTGGTCCCTCACGTTTGCGCGTGGCCCAGGCGTCGTGGAGGAGGCCAAGTTCCTGGAATCTCAGGCTCGAACCCAAAGCCACTGGTTTCACAACCAATCAGTGGTGCCAATTCTACCTGAAAAAAGAGAACCAACCCTTGAGCGACACGACAAATCTGATGCCACCCTGTTTGTTTTGTCCGCAAACTGTTTGCTAGATCAGTCTTCCGACAAAAGAGTTTGAGACCTTCCTTCAAGCGACTCGAGTCGTTTCTTGAGAAATGGAAGGACATGGAAAAAACTTCGTGAATCCCAAGGTGCAGAGATAAATTGCTATGCCTGCCGAACAATCGCACACCTCTGTAGGGGGCACTGCGTGCCTGTGCGATTCCAAGGCGTATCAGAAGGACAAAAGAGTCTTCGGTTTTGTGAAGGATTGGGTCAGCTTCATCTACGACAAGGCGACCGATGGGCCAGATCCATGTGCGAAATGGGTCAGTGGGTAATTATGGAAAATGAGAGGTTCTAAGAGGCTCCTAGCAGCTTGTAGGTTTAGAGAGTACAAAAAACGATGTACAAAGAAAGAGAACAGGAAGAACGAACAGAGGCAAAGGAAAAAATATGTTTAAAACACGAAGGAATGTCAGTCAATGCTTTTATATTCTGTTTTATTGGTTCGGAGTTCATGTCCTGGGAGGTCCAGCTGTTCCTGATTACGCCATTGCTGTGGCATTACGCCGCAGGGAGGCACAGAATTGGATCCAAGGAAGAGTCACCTTATGAGATAGCATACAATTCTACATCATTGTTTGTTGCTGGGGTGGCTGATTGTCTGGCTTGGCGTGCCTCATTGCCATATTGTGCTGCAACTTCGATGTGACTAGTTGCTAGGTCGCCAGTTTCCCGCGACGATCGAATCTATTTGCCAATTTGGTTGAATGTTGAAAAACATAGTATGAAACAGACATAAGCAGACATCATTCAAACCATCCAAATCACTGAGTGTGACGCCTTGCAGACTTACTGTGCTGTGCTGAGGTTGGAGTTTTTGGAGAGGAGGCCCACGGGTTGGGAGCGGAAGCAGCCGTGCAAAGGTGTTGCGAAATGGGGCCTCAGCGAATGAGGATTTCAAAGTTCAGCCCTTTCACTCATGCAGCTGGGTTGCTGACCTTGCAAGGTTTCATTCAAGAAACCTCAAAAAAGGTGCGGCCCCAGATGGTTGCTGCCCCTATATTGTCAATAGGCGGATTCTAGAATCTAGAAGGTGTTCGGAGCAACCCAGCCAGAACATGAGCGCAAATAGGGCAACTGTAGTTGGCTACGGTGTCGAAAGAACAATGGCAAAGGGACATTTGAACACCATCGGTAGACTGTAGTAGTTGACCACATATGGCTATTGGGGCCAGGAATCCCTCATGTCTCTCTTGAGAAAACAAGTTCTTTATAAGTCCTATTCAGAACTCTCACCTGCAGACTTTTGAAGATGAGCCCAATGAACAGTAACCTGCACTTAAGCCGCATTCAATCGGGAGGAAAACACGATGCACTGTGCCGCTGGGAAGGCGGAATATAGCTGCACCCTCTTTTGGCTCTTCCTCTTGCAGTGGGCGGCAGCCTAAGTGAACCATGCCACCACTGAATCGTGCCATGATTGGTATTTGTTTGGGGGAATATTACGATGGCTACAGTAGGCAGCCATAGGACAAGATGTTGGAAAGTACTCGACTTGCCCCGTAATTAATCAATTGACCGAAGCCTGAAGCAAGACAAAGACATCAACTGCAGTGGAGAGTGACGTTTTCTTTTTCCGGTTTGGGTGGGTGGCATCGTCTTAGGTGGAGAAGCCGATCAGCATTCCTTTCTCGCTCTATTCCAACTTCGTGGTGGAGGAGCGGAACCGGGAAACATCGGGCAGTGGACCAATTGGTTGGGTTGAAGGTCCGAATGAGAATGCCAGATGTCTCAGTGGATTCAAGGTCGCAAGCAGTCTGCAAATTGATCCTTTAGATGTAGGAGTGATGAGGACCCTCTACTACAGGTTGCACTGGAAGCATGTTGATTCATCATGTGCCCCCTGACAAATAGCATGAAACAGCCCTGTTTAAGGTCGCAAAACAGTGAGAGTGCAGCAATCAGACCAAGGAGAAGCACGGCTTTAACAAGATGACAGTGACTTGGCGGGTCCAAATAGGGTGCGACTCGCCAAGGTGTTCGCTTCAGGTGCCACCGGGTCGGAGATCATGTGAAGATCCCATGGAGTTGGTTTAGGCAAGGAGGTGATTGTTCCCACGGTTGGTAGGGCATTGATGAGATAACTGTCTCCTGAACCAGCATGAATTCAGATGATGATCCCAACCTCCCAATCCACCTGGAAAACGACACAGTGACTTCAAAGCACATTGGTTGAAAAAGGACCCGTGCCTCAAATGCTTGTCGACTGCCAACCACTCAAAGAACCGAAGCATCGACGGTGATCAGTTTTTCCATCCGCTGAGGTGAAGCTGTTCATCACGGATCTCATAAAGAGCGAGATTCTGCCGCTCAGACCAGACCAGATGGAGCGGCAGATTCCATTTCATGATCTCGGGTGTTGCAGACACTGATGGCCAAGGTGTTCTTTGGTTTTCTTGAATCTCGCCCAATAGCATTTTGTGCATGCTTTTCTACTGGTACTGATACGTTTACTGATATCATTTACCGATCCCACTCTTCATCCCCGTGCTGTTTTCTTCTTTCCTTTGCCTGTTGGCTACCTCCTCATCCAGCTCATCTCACTTCTGTCGGGCCACCCAGATGCCGCGGATCGGTCGGGTGGAAGCCAATGCTCTGAACTTGCTCATGTCTCCGCGACATTTTGCTCCCAAGTACAGCTTCACCAAGTCTGGCAAAATGGTCTTCCTTGTGTTTGAAAGTACATTACTTTCTGACTCTTTCACCTTTTCCTTGTGATTCACTTACTTAAGTGAAGAGCAGAAGACTCTCACGGAGAAGAAATGCTTCATCGCATGCGACCTCAACGGATCCTGAGCTTCAGCGCTCTGGGAGCTCGGCGGCATTTCGACCCGATGACACTGGCAACAATGGCTCCAGCGGTCCAACTGGCGCTCACGGCCTTTGAGGGGAAGAACAAAGGGCTTTGGGACTACAAGATGACCAGGATGCCACAAACCTTTGGACCAGATTCAGACGGGGGAGTGCTGTCTGTTTTGAAGCATTTCGACGTGGCGGGCCGTCATGGCATGGCATTTGGGTTGCAGTTGTTTGACATGTTAGGCGTTGGTCTTCGTGGAATGTCGTCGCTTGGGATGATCGGGAGGCACAAGAAGCTGGATCACATGGTGATTCTGTGTCCTGACCCGAGAGAAATGAAGGAGGTGCTGCTAGCAGCAGTACTAGACTGTTACAAGCGGAATGGTGATGAGATCTGTGTGAATGAGATTCTAGAGATTCTGGGCCAACACGGATACTCCGTCAAGCAGGGGAGCATCAGGTCTACACATATTTTTTTTTGGAAATTACTGGCAATGCTTGGAAGTCACAAAGAGCAGATGAGTGACCGGAATTGGTCGAGGCTCAGACATCCATCCTTAGACGATCATTTTGACCTGGAAAAAGGTTGTGATTCAGAGCGGTTCCTGCGATTGAACTTGGCCGATTATGATGATTTATGTGTCGGCTTATTGGCACTTCAGGAAACTTGCCAAATCTGCTCCAATGATTTGCCAGAGAGACACGGAAGGAAGCCAGCAAAAAGAGTTTTACTATGCGCCATATATGCATGCGTGTGCTGGCGACTTGGTCCGTTGGACATTCATGTGTGTTGGGAGTTAACGTCCATCCTCGTAGGTCCTAGATGGTGCTAGCAACGCATGCATGAGCACGTTTGCAAGGTAGGATTAGAACGTCCCAGTCATGTTTTTGCGGCCAAGGTTTAGAAGACCTTTGGAGCAGCATGGCAGGGCCGACAACTTTTCTTTTGACAGACGATGAGACACAATGAAAGAAAGATGACATGCTGTCACGACAAGCCACGATAAGTTCCAGGAAATGAACCCATTTCACTTCAAGCTATTTGCACTTGTCCGTGGCTTTTTCATGTCACATGGAAATCCGTTCTTCGCACACAACGCTGCCTCTTTGCTGTTGACACTGTTGAATTGAGGTTTTCCGGCCATGTACCGTTTGCTTTTCCCGCTGGTGTTGGAAACACAAACATCGAAGGGTCTTTGAGATTTCCTCAAAAGGTTCTGAGCGAGGATGTGCCATGGGTCAATCACTGCACGTTCAATGAGACAGATCAGATCCTGAGGACCTACATCTTTGGAGGTTTGCTAGTGCCGCTTTCCCAGATTCAGAGACTACACCATCTCCACCTGTTGGAGATCCAGTGACGGTTTTTAGCCTCTCAGTTACTTGGGGTCTGCGTTTACTCCCCTGACCCAAACATTGAAGGAGCCCTTTTTTGACTGGTGCCATAGGCCTTGTTACCTTGTTTGACTTACTTTGGTTGAGCGGCCTGAGGCCCATGCTGATTTGGATCGTGCGATACTTTGGCGCAGGCCATGATTCGGAGCAGGGATCATGGTCAGAGACAATGAGAGTTCCCCCATGCAGCGGTTTGTAGGTAAACACATGTTTAATCAAGAGCAGTGAACATATCAAGCTAGAGGCTAGAGGGTTCTATAGATGTAGCTCCTGCAACGATGAGCTTTCGATTCCAGCCATCTATTATTCTCCATTTTTTACTCTTCCTTCGAGACGGACGAACAAACCTTTTGAACAGTGATAGATGGAAGCACCGGTGACGCATAGATCTTCAGTTTGCGTCAGGCATGGCCTTCCGAAAGTCTGCTTTGGGTTGTGGGTTTGCACATGCTGGTAGGATAGACTAGGATTGTGGTCCTTTTTGAATACTGAGCAAACCATTTGGCGCCCTAGGACGATCCGCTTTGACTTACCTTTACATTTGTGTATCAAGATCCTACCACAACACGGCCAGACGTCAGTCCGTTGACTCATCACCTTGTGGTTTGGCTGGAAAGAGGATCAAGGAAGAGATCATCCTGATCTCTATCGAACCCTTTAAGCTTGATGTCCTACCCGCCACGTCCAATCCTGTCAAGGTTTCTACCTGTATTTGTGGGGCTTTGTGCAGTTCCTTATGTCCTTGCCTCAAAAACGCAGAAGCGGCTGCCATCGGACGAGTCCGGATTGCAACAAACAACATACAAAAGCTGCGCTCTTTATTGGTTTCCAGGTCTTCCCATCACTGGCTTTCAGCATGATTCTGTTCATCTTGATCCCCCATACATGCAGTCGATTCCGTAGATATGAGCTCCTATTGATGGTGGGTTCATCTCAACGCTCTGAGAATGGCCTTCATGTGGATCTACCCCAACTTTATTCAGCCGCTCTTCAATGAGTTCCGGCAGCTTCAGGACAGGTGTGTTCAAAAAGCAGCAGCCCCTAGATGTCCAAGACAGGGTAGATGCAATCAAACAAACGTAGGAGCTGCCATCTCTGGGTACTTTGTCACTTGTGGGTATTTTGCTTGACTGGCTAAATTGTTGCTGACGGCAAAAGCTTGCCATTGAGTTTAATCAAGATGCGCGGATTTTTCGATTGCATTTTCCTAAAGGGTATGCAACACTCGGCCAAGTTCTCATGAAGCCTTTCTACCAGAGTCCCGAGCAGTTCGGTCAGCTCTACCAATCTCTAGATTGTATGATCAGACCAGGTCTCCTTCTCCAACAATTAAAGACATTTGGATCTTCTTGGCTTCTTCGGGCTTCACTCAGGCGTCAGGTGTCACAAAGAATCCGCATGAATGGGCCTTCACCCGGAGCCAGTCGTGGCGAATCAATCGCCGCTCCCCCGCCGTGCCGCCGGAGCTCCGTGAGGATGCCTCGCTCAAGGAGAAAATCGAAGCCTTGGCTGCCGAGGCCGATAGCATATATAGGGTAGAGCAATCCAACGAATTAACTAGTAAGGATCCAAACACCTGGCTTGGGGGGGTGAACAACAGTTGGTTATAGTCCAGTTGGGAGTTTGACATGTTTTTGCGGAAAGCTTTTTGGGATATCATCGCATGGTGTTCTTTTGTTGGAAGGGGTCGGGTGTGGTTTGTCCATCTATTCTATCACATGAGAAGGTGAGTTCTTGGACCAGGTGAGCTTCCCCTTAACGAAGCTCTTCGAGATTGACGGCTCCAAGCGCTCAGGGCCCGATCCCTGAGGGGCCGGGACTTGCGGAGTCGGAGTGAAGGTGGAGGTTTGCAGCAAGAAACCAAAGGGTGGACACTATCATACATATGAGAGTTTTTCTATGGATGTTTGACATTTTTGACATCTTGGTGAACATTTTGGGTAAGGCCACCGGTCAATAGGATAATAACTATACTATACATCCCAGTGCTAGGCATCAATTGAAAAGGCCCCCCAAGTCACTTGAGCCAATTTCAAATCGGCATCACCATTTTGCGTTTTATGGTCTTAAAAACTGGGATTTTCCCAGACGGACCATCACCTATTCATGAATGCACGTGTGGCCAGGGCAGTCCGGAGTCATTCTACAGTAGAGGCTGAGGCAGCAAGACCGACTTACTAGTGTGGCATCGCTAGGAGCAAGGACGCTACTAGGGGCTCTATCATAAAGGTGTACCGGTGGGGCCACCTGGCGCATATGAACCCAGGCACTCCAATGCCTATTTCTTTGGCTTCTGGAAGTGCGCAGCTCAAGTCAACAGGATTGGTGAACTAGAGTTACGGACACTTTAATTTTTGAGGGGTGAAGAAGCACGTTTGTCATCCCAGGTACAAGCGAATTGTCCTCTACGACACCTTGCCAGAGCTTCAGACTGCTGACCGGCGGCCAATCGCGCTTTCGTTGCTTCAATCGATGTTTGAACTTCCCAGCTTGGTGAACAGCTTGAATCCTCCAAAGGAGTCACTCGTGTCAGTCGGGGTCGGACATGTGCAGAGGGGAAAGACATGTTGTCGCTGCTTCATGCTGCCTCGCACCTTGAAGGCTCCACTTGAAGCATGACGATATCTTGGCCATCCTTTGTCACGAATTAGGCCGGACGTGTACTACGACGACTCAAATACAAGTAATTAGCGAGGTACCTTGGAATCTTGCACGGCGAATGTGTTCCAAAACGTACTAGAAGCCATTCTTTTGCTTGTGTCGATTTTGTTTGTTGCTAGAGCATGAAGAAGTAGTTCAGTAGCTTCTCAGTACACTAAGTGCAGCCAAAAACCCATGGACAAGTTGACAGGATTGACTGACAAACAAGGATTTTTCCCACATTGGAATGTGAGTGGCCAGTTTTATGGTCTGGATCCCTGCCAAAAAGGCAAGGCAGCCCATGACCATCTGCAATAGGTCCACACAACTGTGCAAATGCATCACATGCATAAAGATCCACTCCTGTGATGCCTGCAGACTGTCCAGATTGTCTTGGTGATGCTTAGCATGTGATTGGCTTGCTGCAGGTCATTGGAAATTCGGCCACACGCTGATGAATTTGGTGATTAGCTCGGCAGCTTCCCCAGTCTTTTGGAAGACATCAACAACAGTATAGTGACGAGTTATTGTGAAATTGTTCTTTCTCCATATGTAGAACTCTGCCACCAACTACACAGAGATCCTTGAAAGTCCTTGACACTTGATGGAACTTTCGCACAGGACCACCCTAAACGTAGCGTCTTACACAATCTTAAACTCTCTTCCTCTCTCTTCCTGCCAGGCGTCCCTGTCCGTTCCATTGATGCCTTCCTGCTACGGATTCCGCGCCGAGCAAAGGCACACACTTTCGTGCTATTTTGGCTGTTCGACCTGGTGATGTATTCGGAGGCGGGGAATCGTATCCGTTTGGAGAACTCGGCCTTTATGGTTTTTGCAAGCAAGCATAAATCTATGCCATGAATTTTGCAGTACGATGAAATAACATAACATTCAAACAGCCCACTAATACCTACGTCCTCCATGCAGGTGTCAACACAGATGATCAAGCAGTTCGGCTATGGAGAGACCAATGCGGTGATGGCGAGAAAACTCAGAGAATTGGAACTTCCTGTCTGACTGCATGGTAAGAATGCTACTAGTAGTAATGCCCTTTGTTACTAGTAGCGATGCCCTTGTTACTAGTAGCTTCTTGCTACTAGCAGTGTTTTCAGTGATTGCCTACAGTTCACAGCTTACGCTGATGACACGACCAGTGTGTCTTTAAAGTTCATCCTGACTGCCTACAAACATCGAATTAGTAACAATGAGTGACGATTTGCCTTGCATCTAACAACCACCGACCCTTGGATTGTGGAAGATATGAACATTTGGCAACGGGAAGACTCTCTTGGTTTGACACATCTCCAACGTTTCCCTTAAAGAGATCATTGCAGATTCACCCTGTTTCCTCAGGTCTCCCTGATGCTGTTCATGCTGCCCTGCTGGCGAAGATTTTGGGAGGTGGTAATTAAGTGGTAAATGATGATAAATCGATATAACTATGTTACTATGTTGGATAAGTCATACAGAAAGGTGTTGGTGCCTCCAAGGGAATGGTTCCTTTGGAGTACTCTCCACACACAAATTTACGTTCTGCCTGAACATCTCTCAATAAACATGTTTCTGATTTCTGAATTCGCGTTTTCGACTTGCGCTTTCAAGTTTCAGTGACTTTGCCTGGCTCAGAATTATTGCTTTAAGAACGTATCTCATCATTGATGTTCCTATAGTTCTGGCAGGGCCTCCTGTGAGTATCACGAAAGAACACAGTCTTAGAAGATCTGCACCTGCAGTGTAAGCTAAGAACACCTTGAAGATCAGTTTTGCACTTTTGTTGCTCACGCAACGGCCTCAAGAGGAACGCCATTGTTGACCCATGGTGACGGGTCCGACATGGCACGCACCCCGTGGAGCCCATGGACCTGGCGTTGACGGTGAATGGGTCGGCGTTTTCCTACAAGGCCGGTCTCACAGAGTTGAGACTCGGCAGAGTTGGGCCCCCCTTGAAGAGCGACCGATCCTATGGGTGTTGTTACAGTTGTTTGTTTTTGGTTCTGAAGCAGACCATCATGGGAACCATATATGAACGGGGAGGTTCTGAAGGGTACAGCTTGGTTTGGCAACCTTGTGTTTTCTTAGGATGCCATGACTCGCAATGGGGATGAGTGAAGCACTTGCGTTCATATAGTTTGATTTGGCGCTTTTTCCAAGGATCCGTCTGGCTCACGACCCAGCCACAGCAGACGGCTCTTGTGACGTGAGCTTGTATTGTGGGCATCACCATGCACGCTTCCGTGTGCGTGTGCGAGATCTATACTTCGAGGAGGTCTTTGATCAGCAAGGAGACAGCTTTGATCCTCGATGGAAACCGGGAGATGTGTTTGTTGGTTCTGACCTTAAATTGGGTCCTTGATTTATCTTGAGTTGATTGATGTTGTTGGGGTGTTGACGACAGCGTCGAGTTCAAGATACTATGTTTGACTTTGGCCGGTTTGAAATAGCAACACGGAGAGATTCACTACATGACTTCGGATACCGCAGGAGCTTGAAGCAGAGGATTAGCTGACCTACTGTCCTACCATATATGATCCATCCGACATGATGCATTACGGTCCAAATCTGCTTTAATTGACTGAGTGCTCCAACCATTGATCAATTCATTGACATCGTTTACTGTCAGCATTACTTGAGCAAGTGTTCTTCACCAACAGAAGGATACTTCTGAGTACTCATTAACGTTTCTTTGACAACATTTCACCAAGCAGGAGGGTGTAGTCGACGTAAATTGGGCATGTTTGTTTGTATTGACCCTCACCACAACCAGTATGTCCCCGTCACCAGCTATCTCACCAAGCGCGAAACGTTTGGGTGTTCATAAAGTTTTGACAAGCTTTTGGTTGATAGATCCGCGTTGAAGCCACAACGTTAACGACATCCTATGAACCTTGGGAGAGCCCTGCACAAGTTGGGTACATCTAGAAAAAAAACAACCTCAAGCTTCTTTGGAACCTCTTTCTTTAGGACACGGGGCCTCGTGTTGGTTCGGAAACCACTCACGACGTGCGCGGTTTCCGACGTCCAAGTCCTAAGGACCCACTGCCCTTCTCGCCCTCCTACACTCGAATGGAGGATGTCCATAGCATTTCGCAGCAGTCGATCTACAATGCCATTTGTGGGACCAGTACGGCGGCTGAGTGCAAACAGAGACTTGTCCGACTTGTGGTACGGTTTGCCAAGCTTTTGAAGAATCATAGCTGTTTGGTTTTCACACCCTTCTAGCTGACCCACAACCTGCATCCATTTGAGTTTCTCATTCTCACATATTCTCACCCAAACATGCGCTGGACCTTCAACAACGTATTTGAGCTAGTGGCAAGAACTAAGGAAGCATATTCGAATCTTGATTTTCGTCATAGCAGAGGCCGCGCACTTCAGCTTAATCGCCGACCTGGTTGAGGATCTCATGAATGGCATCATCAGTTCCCTGGCGCTGTGAAGCTTCAGAGTTAGGAGTTGAATGGACAAGTAGCGGAAAGCATCCAATCTTCAGAAGTGAACCTCCCAAACTCACCTAAAAGCAACGTCCCGATATTGAAACATCACAGTGCGTTGCAAAAAGAAGTGAAGGATTTTGAAGGATAAGGCAAGGACTGTCTGACTGACCGTGAAACCCTGAGGTTCCTTGTCGTTGACCCAGATGGACGAGCTGATCCACAGCTACGGTGCCCTGCGCAAAGCCTCGGGCAAGCGCCACACGGGGCAGCTGGTCATCGAGACGGAAGATGTGCAGCGGCACATGGCGGAGTTTCATCGTGAGCTCTGCGAGAGTTTCCCCCACTTGGAGACGGGAGACGAGGGTGTCAAAGAGACGAGGGTGTGACGAGGGTCGGTGTCAGGTACCGGTGTCGCACAAGCGTTTCGGTCCAACTGAGCTGGGAGGCACCGACTCCAAGTCGATTAAGTGAACTGTTGCAGCTGAAAACTGCCGCTGCCGAAGCAGAATGCCAGTTTGTCCGGCTTGCCCAGACGGCCGAGTTGTGCAAGACTATAGTGGGTCGAGAAATCCCTTGATCAGACAAACTTGCGAAATGCGTTGATGGCTGAGGCTTCCCTGGCGCTGGTTCCTTTACAATGCTGATTTCAAGTATGTTTGCAAAGCCTGACGGCTTGTGAATTGGAATGGCCAAGAGTAGCCTTATGGCGGATTGTTGCAAGAATGAGGCCTTTTGCCTTACTTGCCCATTTGCTGCGCTTCCAAAGTCGCCAGGGCTCAGAAGATGGTCATGCAGAAGATGTTTTTTGGCGCCCTCATGACTTTCCGGGGTCGTGTGGCAATGAAATTCTATCACATCGCAATTGTTGGTAATTTGTGCCGGGCCTTTAGGGCCACGGAGGGGCAGAAACCACACAGTCGATGCAGTTCCCTCAGTCGACTGGAAGCATATGGTCGATGAGAGTTCGAGAGTGGAACCGATATGAACCGATTCCTTCCGGAGCACTTTTGGAGGCCACAAAGAAAGGTGAGACCACTCTGTTTGGGTAGGGGACTGATCCACCCAAGGCCCAAAAATACTGCATTGCCCGTTGAAGCAGCAGGTTGTAAAGATTATCATTGACAGACTGAGTGGCAGCCACTGAAAAGGAGTATCTTTGGTTGGGCTGGTCAAATAATTATACCTACTATATAGATGATGCTGAATAATTGTCAGGACTCTTCAAGCTTGGAATCTCAACTATAGAGATCTACTGTAAATGGGTCAAGGGTCTTGAGTTGCCGCCAGGTTAGTCAGCCCCACTGAGCAGCTGCTGAGCTTGCTAATGACCATGCCTGGTAGCTCAGGGTAGCCTTCAACTGCACAGGGGATGGATGGATTTACACGGATTCATTGCATAACATGTTGCCAGCAAGATTGGTGAAGTTGTTTTGCTTCAGCCTCAGTCTCCCCCAAAAAGATGCGGAATGCATGACTAGGAGTCCAGGAACCAAAAATTCAGTGCCAGCTGCCCTTTCATCAACACTCCTTCCATCGACAGCCGCCTCAGCTTTGGTACTTTGGTGAGTTGTTCCAAGACATCCCGACCTGCGTTAGACTGAGGCTTAGCCGTCGCAACGAGTTCCAGGCCTTTTCATCACAGGGAGTTCCTCCAACTATTGGAAGGTGGATGCGGAATGATGCGGAGATACCATGAGATATCGAAAGAAGGCGGATTCAGCATGATGACCGAGAAAGCATCACACTGTATAGTAGTGCATCACTCAGTAGCAAAGCAGCATCCATGCGTATCTGCCTTTTGCCACCCCAACTCGCCGTTGGGCCATTGCCTCAGAATTCTCACATTGTGTCATACTTGGTTCAGAACCCCCACAAATATGTGCAAGTTGTATGACGATGAAAAGGTATCGTCATCTCACACTCGACTGTGCGGCCGGAGGCAGATAGTTTCGCAGCGAAGATGGGCCGATCGGATGCCTTGCAGTTCGCGGACCCAGCCGTGCGACCGGTGCGGCGGTCACGGACGATGGCGAACGCCTTGAACGCCTTGGTGGGGAACAGTGGAGTTGAATGTGTTGGCTGTTTTGTTGAGTGGAATGGTACCTTTTACTAGTAGTAACAAGAAGCTACTAGGAACAAGGGAATTAAAAACTGTATATTATGGTTTTTAATAGCTTCTTGTTACTACTAGCGTGGCACTTGTTACTGTTACTAGCGTGGCACCTTAAAGTAAAGGTGGAAAGGACGGACGATTTTGTCACCTCACGGACATCCCATTGAGCACACTTGGCACCGGCCATCATTGACCGCTGTGGACACAACTCGCGACCAATCTGAGACGGACGGGGTGTGAAGGTTCTTAGCGACCACTTTGGCAAGCTGGGGACTGGGGAAGTGAATCTTGAGATCCACCAAGTGGCCAAGAGTTTCACGAACCAAGCTGTCATGACTGAAACCTTGAAGGAATCAAAAAAGCAAGTTATATGCTCCGAAGCCTCGACTAACAACCAAACTTTAAATGTATCCAAATCCAAATGTGGTGAAACTTACAAGTCCTAGTCGGCTGTTTTTCTTCCCATGAGCCGTTCTAAGGAGTGGGTTGTTCCAGATCCATGAGGAGAACAAGGTGCCGTTTGCACTCGCCCACTGCAAAAAACAGAAACCGTGCAGCCACACTGGGAAGGCGAGTTCATGCAGGTGCTCCCCATCAGTGAAGGTTGCTTGACCCCCCAACTGTTCAACTGCAGAACTCGTTTTGGTTTGAATCAACTTTGCACTCCGGGTTGAGCACCTGAATATTGAAACTCGGACTCCTGGGTGCCTGTGATCGCCTACTTGTATGTCTAGATGATATGTTTCCCACAGTGTACTGTACTAAATGGTGTTCCTCTCGCAAAGGCAAGCATATGCAATAACTTCAATCGTCAATCGTTCTGTTTCCCACAGTTCTCCGTGCTTTTTGAGTAGCGACAGCCTCCCTGTCGACCAGGGAGATCTTAATCCTGATCCATGGTATTCCTGGTACCACTTCTCGCACCCGCCGTTGGTCCGGAGCTCAGAGACCTTCCGGCGTCTTCGACACCACCGGACCGTCGGGTCTTCTCGGACGAGGTCGAGCGGCTCCGTGCACTGAAAGCCCTGGAAGAAGAAACGGCCAAAAAGGCCACTTGAGGTGAAATTGGTGGTGCATGGGGTGCACGGCACCAATGAGGGCGTGAAAAGGAGATCGTGAGTTGGGTGTTGGGGATCAGAAGTTGACGGAAGCTAATCCCTTTTCTTTGTGAATTGGGAACCAATTGTGTCTACCAATTTCGCGGCGGGTGCAATGAGGATCCAGAGAGATTTGGGGATTTGCGATTTGCAGTAGGCTCTATCATCATTTGTGATCAAGTATGCAGATGTTTGCCGACAACTGACGAACAAGTGATTCGAAGTTAGTGAGACTCGGCCATAGACTTGATTCTGGCTGGTGAGGGCAATTAGTTAGTTTTGAGATTTGTTGTGAGATTTGTTTTGAGATCTCAGACAAGGCCCAAACTCAGCTTCCCCGTGTAAATTCTAAGCATCATCAAATGCGAGGCACTTGCAATCTAGGGATAGTCCTGTCATGTGGTGGCAGAGCACTGACAACTTTTGGAGGGGACATCACGATCGTCAGACCTGGGAAACTGCTAGTTGATGCACAATGTGGCAGGTGGTTGGGAGAAGATTGCCTATTCGTGAAGATGAAATTGTGATGGGATTGACCAAGCTGGCAATCTTTTGGGCCGTAACAACTTCCTTTCCAATCTGCTGGCATTTGGCTCAGGTGTAACTTTAAACATTGGTAGGAACCGAAAGCACGGCTTTGCTGTAGTCACCTGACACAAGTGTGTTGTTATGCACACCTGAAACACCGAAACATCAGGTGAAATTCTCGCAGGGCATCACATCTGCTGTCATTGCTAGGCCCTGCCTTCGGCCATTTAAGCATGACAGCTCGCTCAAAAAGCAGAAGTCTTTTGGTGCCTATGCCAGTATTCTCAAATGAATGGAATCTGTCAAAAAGACTGTGAGACACACACTATTAAAGTTGGCTGTGTTCCAGTTCAATCCCAAGGGTGACGACACAACAGATGTCCTTTCAATGCTGTTGGGATGGCATGATCTTCCTGCCTCTTCATGGGGCAGGGCTCTCATTTCTCCGCAGGTCAGAGTTTTGAAAGTCATCAACAACATGAGCATAGCCAATCTGCACATATCCGCACATCACCCTGACAAACCCAGATTCTAAGATGCTCTTTGTCATTTCCTATACTGCTTCGGTTGTACTGCACAGCAGTTTAATCTCTTTGGACAAGTTGAACAGGTGCTTCTTTAGTCCCAGGAACCATTCCATCCAATCCTAGAGTCCCTCGGAGATCGTTGCGGAGCCGCCCGGTATACCTCCCTTCTTCGTCACACTGTGACACTGCGCCTTGCCAATTCGCATCGAAGCACCGAATCACAAGATCTCCATGACAAGAAACACCAGAGAAAAAAGAATAGTGATGAGTGTTTGGAGAACAAGCCACGTAGTTATATATAACTATGAGACTATGAGACTATGAGAAAATCAAGATGACGAATCACTGAACCATTTCTGCACCAATGAGCCCTACTCGAGGCCTGAGGAGTCGGTGAAGGACCGGGTGCGAGTGGTGAGTCTACCTGGTTCTGGTCGAAAGATGAGTCGGGAGGTGGTGTGATGCAGGAATTTCCATGAATCAGAAGATGATCTATGTCTATAAAGTGTCTTGAGAGAGGAACATCAGAACATCCTGTTCACAAGAATTGGGAAGGGCACCAAACCTTACTAGTAGTAACAAGAAGCTAGTAGTAACAAGTGCCACGCTAGTAGTAACAGGTGCCTTACTAGTAGTAACAAGAAGCTACTAGTAGCCGGAACTTGCGAATTTCGTTGAAGCTGGTGCTGGGCCGCTTGGGTTCCCAGCTTCACTGCTGCGAACTTCGTCGAGTTGGAGCCCTCCAGACTTTGCCGAAGAAGGGCCATGAGCGACCCGAAGAGAGAAAGCTTTCTCAATGTCAGTCCTTATTAAGCTATACCGGTTTTTCCTATAATGTAGACCTTTGATGAGCCAGAAAATAACGACAGTCCCTGTATGGTCAAACATAAAACAACTAACTGTTTAACTTTAACTCCACATGGAATTTGTTTTCATTCGTGGTTCCAGGAGGTATCCCAGGCAGAGCCTGCGGAGCCAGAGTCTGCGGAGCCTGCACCTGCAGAGCCTCCAGAGCCTGCAGAGCCTGCGCCAAGTGAAGGTCATGTCCTTTGCAGTTGGGAGGACAAAATTGGAGCAATGTGAGGGATCCAAAGGGCATTTGTTCCTTCGTGATTTGGAATGAAAGGGACCTCGTTAATCTGCCAGCTATGCAGGTGGTCCAGCTGAGAAGGAAGGGCCAGAGGAAGCACCTCAAGAGCTGCTCGACAGAAGGGAAGTCGAGCCTCGACCAGCCTGGCCGCTGATTTGGGAGAAACGGGCCAAAGCAGTGGCCAAAGCTGATTGATACACAGTGGGGTTGTAATTTGTATCATGCTCATCTCACATCTCTTGTAGCGACCTGACATGTGGCACATCTCCACGCGTTGAGTTTCAGGGGTTGAAGATTCGTGATTGATTTGCTGCTCCATATTTATTCTGGTAGCATTCATTGATCGATAGGAACATGATGTAGTAGATACCAACGTGCGGTTCTCCTCAAGCACGTCAGACCAAGGGTGTTTGATGCTCTTGTTGGCGGGGAGTTGCGGGAAAGTGTTGATTTGCCTGCTTGGGAAACTGATTTGCTTGACTGGCTTATGCCCAAGGTCAGGGGTGCAAGATGTGGGCCTGGCGCTTGGCGTGGGTACACGAGGGCATATCGCTGTATCATTTAATTGTCATAACTCGATGAAGTTTTGGCACCTTCACAGATTGAAGTCAGGGGTATGTTTGAGGGTTGAAGGTTTTCAATTGCATTATGCAATGATCAATGCGCTCCTATCTCTTGCTATCAAGCATGGACATATTGACAAACTTTTTTGGGCTTGGGATTCTCCTACAAGCGATCCTTGATGGAACAACACTTCTGTGCTGGATTCATTGCTCGCTTGTCCAACCATTTATCGGTTGTACTTGGGGGTTCTTTATACACTTCGCTTCCACGTTTTGCAGAGTTCAGAGGTGGGTTTGATCCAGTAGCGTCCTTTGCTCCTAGTAGCGAGGCCCTTGTTACTAGTAGCTTCTTGCTCCTAGTAGTACGGCCAGGAGCCCCTAGTAGCGTCCTTTGCTCCTAGTAGCGTCCTTGCTCCAGTTGGGTGTTCATCTTCAGATTTTGGGAGAGACACACCGACAGACGCGATGAAATTCAGCTAAAAGGGCGGAGCTGATCCGGAGCTCTCGGGAACCCTCCGTGCCCACACTGTGGACGATCAAACGAGGCCTTCCCATTCCCAAGCGCGATGGCCCGGTTGGGGAGCTTAGATTCTTACAACTAGGAGCAAGGACGCTACTAGGGGGGCTCCTGGCCTTACTACTAGGAGCAAGAAGCTACTGGCATCGCTACTAGTAACAAGGACGCTACTAGGAACAAAGGGCAAGCGATTGAAAAAGAAAGGTTGCAGACAAAACGTTTTCCTTTTGATGCTAAGAGTCAAAGACCTCCTGCCACCTGCTTTTCCATGTTGTTCAATTCTTTTGTTCCGTGTTTCTTCTTCCCTTGTGGGTTTTGGAATTGCAGTGAAGTTCAACCGTTGCAAAGTGCTGAAAGCCTTGTTGAATTTCAATGCTTAGGGGCAAGATATGGGCTTGTCTTTTTTTTAAGGTGTCCAGTTTATGTAGGACTGGGATGTTCGACTTAGGCGAAGCATACCCCGAAGCATACCCCAGAAGCATACCCTGAAGCATACCCTCTGGAAATGCTATTACTTTAGTCTTCACACTGCGCGAAGCATACCCCGAAGCATACCCCCGAAGCATACCTCCGAAGCATACCCCATAGTCAAACATCCCGGCCCGGGAACCTTGAGAAAATACAAACCCATATCTTGTTTTTTCCACATTTGTAAAGCCCCTCCAATCGGTTTGTCGCTCACGTAGTTATTTGCCACTTGGTTTCTTCCGAGGCACCCACGTCGAACGCCAGTGCGGCAGGTGGGGAAATGTGTTTCAAGCGGAGCAATGTATCTCCACTCTTCTCTTGACATATGCGACCCTCAAAGGGTCTTGTGATGCTTTGTGGCTCTACACGACAAGACTCCGACAAGACTATTTATTCAAAGATTTGCTAGCTTTTGCCGGTCCCATGCTTCTTTTTGATCAGGTGAAAGTAACGCAGGAGTTCAGAGGAGCCGGGGCTCTGTGGGTGCTCAGGATGGGCAAGGCATACCTTGTATCCATCAGAGCTCTTTGAACACGAGGGCAACTTCAGGCACCCAAGCCTTGGAAAGCCACATGCAGCTCGGTCCTGGCAAGGGACGTTCGAGTGTGAATCCAGAAATTCAAGGACTTCGAGGCAATAAGTATATAACATGTAACACTATAGTAACACACACAGAAAAGAAACTAGTAACATGCCTCAATGCACAAACCCCAGCTTGAAAAATGGATTGAACTTCCAAGACTGCCACCCAAATCTCCATCCCTCATTGCCTTTCGTGTGGCGAATCCTGGAGCCAAAGCACCCGCAGGAGCAAAAGGAAAACCGAAAGAAAACACAAGGTCCAAAGAACAAATAGTAGCTTCTTGTTACTACTAGTAAGGCACTTGTTCCTAGTAGCGATGCACTTGTTACTAGAAACAAAAAAAACAAATCAAAACAGAACAAAGAAAAACATACTCTTCAGGAGTCCAACAGTGAGTCCCAGCGCCAGTCCGCAGCAGAGCCGGGAGCACAGAGGAGGAACAGGAACAGCTGAGAACGGTTTCTGAGACTTTTGTCCGGTGTGGTTTTACTGCTCGGCTCCCTGTTTTCGAGGGAAGTAAGTGAAGTAACTTTGGGATGTTTAGGTTGCATGGCAACCTATGTTTGGGCAACCCAAATCCACAAGTTTCCAATCGTAGGCATTGTTGAGGAAACGGTTATTCTTCCCAGTTTTTCAGGGAGCTAGATGATTTTTTCCAGGTGGCCGCTTGAGGAACGTTCAGCGCCAACCTGGTGACATTTGCGGGGGCTACAAGTGTTCATCCCTCACAACCCAATCACATGTTCCCAATTGGACACAGACGTTTGATGTGCTGGGCTACTTTCCAGGTGACTCCAGAGTGCCAGCGCAGAGGAGTTGTGGAGCGTCTGGGAAATCTGAGAGCTTTGGTAAATGTCCATCTGTGTTTTCGCTGCTGAGGTTTGGCCGAAGTTGGTGCAAAGGCTAAACAAGAAACCCATATGACAAACTTCAACTGAGCGTTCCTGAGCAGTCCCCTGGAGCGTTCCTGGTCATGCAAAGGCCCCGAAGATCCCCGAAGGCTTGACGTAGTCGCTCTCATGTCGGCCACCCAACTCCAGGAGTCCGCCGGTGAGTCCAAGCGCAAGTCCACAGCAGAGCTGGAAGCAGAGGGTCTGACATGGTCTGACAACTGCAGCTCACATTCATCAATGTTCTACCTCATAAACACTGAAACACTCAGAAATGGAAACTCAAACTGGATTCACCCATAGTGACATTGTCCTTTCGACTCTCGGTGCAGACCGAATCTCAATGCAAAGCAGTGGCGATGACAAAACCTCGGAGGTCTCAGAAGGATAGGTCTTGGTGTGCTTTGCATCCATGTTACCATGTTCAGTAAAAACCATCAGCGGAAATCTGCGGCCGATGGTTCAATTGAACAACGTCCCGGGTAGTGAAACGGTGGACTGGCCGGAGCGATCTGGAGCCTTTCTCAGGTCCTTCAGCAACACCGAGCAAGGCGGGATGTCTCAACATAGCTGAAAAAAAAGCAAAATGCTCCAGCAGCCCAGCAGTCACGGACTTTTGGAAAAAGAACCATGCAAGACCATGCAACAAAAATGGTATGACATTGTTTGTGAGTCTGATGGATTCTCCACTCATCGTTTTCACCGCGCAGTCGCCTATCCAGGAGCTCCCCAAAGAAGAGCTGCCGGAGCCCGTGTCACCTGGTGGGAGCCTCAGCATCGAAGTGACTGGCACAAAAACAGATGGCAAGAAGGTTAGGGCAGCCGAAAATCAAAAGAAAACAACAACGAAGACATAGAGAACAGCACGTTATAAAGAAAAAGGAAAAGAACCCATCAAAACTAAGACAAGTCTCAACAAAAAGGTCCTATTCAGAAAGCCAACTGGCTGAACTTGGAGGGAGGACGGAAGGAGCAAGCTCAAGCCCGAGGCTCTCCACTTCTGGCCAGTGCGGAACACAGGAAAAACGGAGCGCTCGAAAGATCGGTTTCGATGGGTTCGTTCGAGTTCGTGTGGCGGCACTCGGCCTCTCAAGCTAGGCGAAAGCCACAAGGCAAAGACATGCAAAGAACAAGCTCTATTCCTATCTATACACCTAAACTACCATGAGCTACCCAAATTGAACTCTGATGTGTGAGCTCTTGATTGTGGCACTCGGCACTCGGGGAGTATTTTTGAGATTTACTATTAAAACTGACCTTTGTCTTTGTACTGTGGCTGAGAGGTCTTCAGACATATGCCCTGACATGGTTGAGGAAATGTTCCTTCGGCTGTGACCACCGGCTCTACTCATTTTTTTGGAGATTCACTTGAAAAGGGCTCGGCTGCAGCAGAGACATTGGAACTTCCAATCCACTAGGTGCGGCCGCAGCTTCGCATAAAGAGGCAACTTGGCAGATCTTGGCAGCCTCAGGAGTCAGTTTGCAGCTTGCGACTAACGTTGTCGGTTGTTAATTCTTGCTGGACGTCTCTACTCAAGTGTGCCTCAGGCCTATTCAGTTTGATGGGAATTCTTGATCATAATTAAACCACTTTCCTTGACCCTCCACTAAGATGCCCTTTTATCGACAGGTGCAGAAGGATCCATGCATCTATGCATCCATATGGAAAGCATTTAGTATGGGGTAGTTGATTCAGTGCCTCAGATTTGGAAGCAAAGAAGCAGGACCAGGAGTAACTCGGAGTAACCAAAAGAAGTCGTTGGAAGGATCAATCCATTTCAGCTCCAAGCCTTCCACGTGCTTTGCGGCCAGGTGACGCCGCCACAGACCCCACAGCTCGCCAGCTTCGCGCCCCCCTTGACCGAGAAGCAGATGCTGCCGCAGCTGCCAGGCGACTGACTCCGACGGCGGCTGCGGTGGCCGGACTCAACTGAGTGAGTCACACATGTATAGTATTGGACGCTACTAGGAACAGGTGCCACGCTACTAGGAACAAGTGCCTTACTAGTAGTAACAAGAAGCTATTAGAAACAAGAACGCTACTAGGAACAAAGGGCATCGCTACTAGGAGCAGAAACGCTACTGGGGGCTCCTGGCCATACTACTAGGAACAAAGTACACAACTTCATGTCCCAAGCATTCTGCCCCATTTATGGCTCAAGAAACAGAGGAGGGATTGCTCGGCTTAGATCTTTGACGTGTGAATCATGGTGCAGATGA